ATTGGGGGGAATTTAAAAAAAAATCGTAGAAGCCACAAATGGCTTTGTACTCCTTTCTGCTTGAGATATGGTATGTAGTTTGCTTTTTTCTTCATCTCTGATACCATGTGCAAGAAACAAAATTAAAAATATAGCAGGTGGCGTAAAATATATTTTACCTGCACAAGGATGTCCATCTCATATCGACTATTCTTTCTTAGCAATGTCATAGAAACGTGTTATCTATCTATAATATTGAGGGAAGAATGAGACAGATATACAAATCAAATTTTGTACATTCGATATAAAAAAAAAATAATATTTTTTCTTGGAATTCAAGAATACTTATATACATTTTAAAATAAAAGTAGTAAGTATTTAACTCAAATAATAACCGTATTCAACTTGAATAAAAATACAGTAGGTAGGGTCAGATTACAATTAGAAGAACACAGCTACATCATCATTTGGCAAAGTAATTAATTGATTATCGCCGGCCACTGGGGTAGATTGTTAATATTATAGAAATATAGTAAATATTATTTTATACCTAACAACCTACTTATTTTTTATTTATTGATAGTTATAGATAATATGTATTTGAAATTAGAAGTAATGGTTATGACGTAGCGGTGTTGTTCTATTTGCCCACTGCAAATTTCGACCGTCATCTGATAACGAAATGAAATATGCTCCACAGGCATGTAACAACATTGTACTTTACCAAAATGCACCTGTGCCAATCCCTATCCTGAGCAAAAGGGATAAAAACATTATTTTATATTAAAAAAATCACATAAGACATGACAGCAACAATTGTGTTTGCCCTGAAAATTACAATCCTAATTCAATGTGAACCTAGCTTTTAAACCTGAATTATTAATATTTTTACCTACCTTTTAAACCATGGGTATGTGTGAAAGGAAGAAGGATGGCATTGTATAAACCATTTACAGAGATAGTCAATAATAATTATAAACTCTTGTTAGACAATTCTTTTAAACCATAATCATAGTAGTTTTTTTGTCGTTTCTATGGCAACCTGTAAAAATGAATCACAACAATAGGCATACAAATAGATTTTTAAATCATCAAAAATTGATTTATATTTTTAATGAATTTTACCTACTAATCGTGGATAGATTTTTTTGTGCAATGTTAAGAGGAAGAAAATGTTTCCCTTTAACGATATATATCAAGATATATTTAAATATGTTATTTTCTGGACATTTAAGGGCAAACAAAACTAGCGCTGTCATGTCTTATTTGATTTTATTAATATAAAATAATTTTTTTTAACCACTTTGCTCAGGATTGGGATTGACACAGGTGCCATTTGGTGAAGTACAATGTTTTTACATACTTTTGGGGTATGTTTCTTTTCGTTATCAGATGACGGTAAAATTTTGCAGTGGGCTCTTGGGCTACTACGTATAATTTTTTTAAGTATAAGGATGAAAATATAGATTTATATTTTTACAGATATTTCCAATTTTGTCATTGTCTGGTTTAGGTTTAGAAAGATTCTATTTAGTGCTTGCTTTTACTTCTATTTCTCCCTATTTACCGTTTTGTATAGCAAAATACTGAAAAAACTTCCTTCTCATACTTTGCCTCGAACATTTGTACTTATTTTTTTTATTTTTTGCGTACAATAACGATATCACCACTTTATCTTCTCTTTGTTGATCGACACGTTCATCTTTTTATTCTACTATTCCCATTCAGTAACATTCATTTGCAGTTCCTTTCACTATTTACTAACAATACTAATACATCATGCGAATGTGCATTCTATACGAGAGTACTTTATTTTAATCTACGATATCCTACATTTATAATATTTATATGAACATGCACGAAGCGATCAACAATGGTTCAAAGTATGCCATCCGAAGAATTATTACAATATAATATACGAGGTGTTGGTGACACTGTAGGGATGATACTCCGCATAATTGTAACATGTAATTAATGAAACATAAAAGCCTTAGATAAGTAGGTCAAGGCAACAAACCAGTGGCGTAACTACAAATTTCGGTCCTTCCGCAACTTTCGACAATTTACATAAATATATCCTACATTATCTCGAGCTCGATTATAAAAAACTACCTCGAAAACTACTTTAACTTAAAAATTATATTCAAACATTACGTAACTTAAAAACCTGATGTGTCCAACTCATGACTATTGTATTATCATTGTAAATGTTTAGACTAAAGGATAAACTAAATACATTAAAATTAGCATTTTACACTTTTCCTCAAATTTTTCCATAACGGTCTATTTTAGAGAAATCATACTAAGTTTCATTTGAACAATTTTCTTAAATATTCGAATTTTACACTTATTGTCAAATTTTAGAAAAATGATGTAAGTATATGACAAAAATTATAGAGAACTTTTATTTGAAGAATTTTCTTCTTCAAGATTAAATAACAGATACTTATATTCTATAAAGTAGAAAAACGACCCCATATAAAGTACTCCCCAGATGTTCCGATCCAATCACTCACCACAAGATGGATTAAAGCTTAAGTGAAAAATTTTGTTTTTCTCTGTATCCATTCATGAGTTATCGAGTATACAGACACTCACATACATTTTGTATTATTACCACAACATTATTGCCAATAATGACAAATCTACTTTAAAGGTAAACTTTCTCTTTTTTTATTAGCCAAATAATCTGACAGGTAAGCTTAATATTAAATAATTTAACTTTTATAAATATATTGCAACGATAAAATGCGAACTGTAACAAACTCCTAAACAAATATTTATCATCAACCATTATTATCCTATCGAGCATTTCTGTATTTCTATTGCAGAAAAGGGTGTGTTTAAAACAAATCCCAGAAGAATCTTATGTTAAAAAATATAGGTCGAGTTAAGATCGAATTTCTTAGATTTCTTATTCGTACTTTCATGTCTAATCGTAGACGATGACCAATCGCGATGTCGTCGGCTACAATGTCTGCGTTTCGACTGTTTAGCCTTTTCATTTGCTTTATTTTTTCAAGAAAACCGACACGAGTTCAAAGGCAACAAATCCTACTTCTGCATTGTAAGAAAATCGAAAATAAAAGTACTTTATTTTATAAAACAAAACAATTCTATTTAAAAAGTAAAGATAGTATTATAATATTAGACAGAATAGTTCGTTTCTGGTTTGTTTACCAATCAATACTGTATGCTTAAGGTTTTTTTATCCTAAGCATATATTCGTTAACATCAACAAGCTATATTAATGAGTTTCGTCGAAATATCCCATAAATAAAGTCCTCGATAAAGTCTAGGACTAGCGAGGGTGTAGCTACGTCACTGCCAGAAGCGCGTCTGCATTATCAGTCACGATTTGGCAACAGTGCTTAATTTTGCAGTTATCTCAATAAGCAAGACATTACCTATTAAAATTAACCTCAACCTAATCTTAATACACTCCTTGAAATTTTAATAAATCTTAAAAAGAACCCTTTGGTTACTTTTAAATTTAAAAACTACTTAATAATCTCGAACATGTGACCGTTAAATAAAAAATATATTAAGGTATCTAACAACCGGAAAAGCAACCAATAAAAAAAACTTATTAAAACCGCGGTCTGGTCCAAAACATCCTGTATTTACGCAACGTGTTATTTTATTTATGACTGAGTTTTGGACACGTATCGGATACACAATAGGAAATTCGATAGTGTTTTCGGTTTGGTCCCCAGGATATAGTAGGCGTCATATATTTTTTTAAACTTTTAATCAACGATTTCATTGCAAATTCGCGCATTTACCGCTTTAGACTATTAGATTTTTCCGAATCGGATATAAGTATTCGGGGAAGGACTTTTCGAAGGAAATCCTGCACACAAATGAATTCGTCCGATCAGGATTACTGGCGAAATCCGGAAAGGAAATATCGCCAGAGGAGTAGGCTGAATGATTAAAGATCGTTTCGATTAGATAATATACAAAAGGCATTCATGAGCGCGGCCAGAATTTTTTCCAAGGGAGAGAAAATATACAATTTTCTGAACCTAACCATAAAAGCATACATGCTTAATTTTATTTAATAGATATGAAATCCGTATCTTAATGATTTATAGTTTCTACCAACGTCTAGAACAGCGGTTCTCAAATTGGGTTTCACGGAACCCTTGTGTTTCGTGAAAGGATCATCAGGGTTCCGGGAAAATATAAAATACATTTTCACATATACAGGGTGATTCATAAGTACTTTGACAAACTTCAGGAAATGATTCTTTGAGTAATTTTAAGGTAAAAAGTTCATATGAACATGTGTCCGGAAATGGATAATTTTCAAGATACAGGGTGTTAAAGTTTTAAAAAAAAAATCGTTTTTTTATCATATCTTTCATACCACTGAAGATAATTTAATGAAATTTGGTACACGTTGTTTTACCATAAAATGATGATGATGATGCTATTAACTTTTTTTATTTTCATAAGTGGCGTCCCTACGGTATTTTAACTAAATATTATTGAAGAAAAAAATGATACGCCTCTGGTTTTTTAAAAAATTAAAATTAATTTTAAAATCTACATTTAATTTGGAACAAATTTGATCTCTTGACTTTTGTTCTAAAAATAAAAACCATTTTCATACATGACTAAATCACTAAAAAATTTTTGAGCGTACTTCTAGCACATTTTTCAGTAAAAAAATCGATTTCCCTATCAAATTTATATTAAAAAGCTACCCTTGTTAGAAGTCGTTACGTTTTCTAGATATTTGGACTTGAAATCTTCCAGTCGATTACTTAATAATCGATGCATGTTGAAGTTATCAGCATTATTTTGTTTTCACAAGAGTGCCTAGAAATGAATTTGACATTTAGGTAAGTATTTATGGTAACAACACATTATGTGACAGTTAAACACTCCTCGTTAAGTTTTTTGGCTTTATCATTGAATTGGTGAAGTTTCTGTAAATTTTAAAACACTCATTTAGAAAAATGGATTATTTAGACAATAATGCCTATTTGACCGACATGCATTTCGTTTATGGCCTTGCGGATGGCAATGCGCGCGAAGCGAGACTTATTTACCAGAAGCGATTTCCTAATCGAGTACTGTCTTCAGCTCCAACATTTTCCAGTCTCCACCGTCGTTTGGCCGAAACAGGTAGCTTTAAGAGGGCAGCTGATATTGTTGGAAGACCACGTGCAGTCCGAACCCCAGAATTGGAAGAAGCTGTTTTGAACGCTGTCGAGGAGAATCTAGAAACAAGTACAAGAATAATTGCTGAAGCTCTCAATTCTACTCAGTCCACAGTTTGGATAATCATCCACGATCAACAATTGTATCCATACCATATTCAAAGGGTGCAAGCTCTTTTGCCACGAGACTTTCCTCAACGCATTAATATGTGTCAGTGGTTTTTGAGGAAATTGGCTGAAAATCCTCAATTTTTAAGATATATAGTTTTCACGGACGAGGCAAATTTCTCCAAAAATACTATCACAAACTTTCATAACAACCATGTGTGGGCTCTAGAAAATCCGTACGCAATTAGTGAAAGGCATTCTCAGTATCAATTTTCTGTAAATGTATGGGCGGGAATAATTGATGATTATTTGATAGGCCCTTTCTTTCTTCCGCTCCGACTGGATGAAGAAACTTACAGACACTTTCTAGAAAACGAATTGCCGGGATTACTTCAGAATGTACCTTTAGGAAATCGTATCCGCATGTGGTTTATGCATGATGGGGCTCCGGCCCATTTCAGCGTTGTAGCCAGGGAATTCCTTAACACTGTCTATCCAAATCGATGAATCGGTAGGGGTGTAGAAGAACCTAACCAGGCGTGGGCACCAAGGTCCCCAGATCTAAACCCGTTAAATTTTTATTTTTGGGGACATATGAAGTCATTAGTTTATAAAACTCCAGTAGCAAACGAGGAAGAACTAAGAAACCGAATAATAGACGCCTGTGAAAGAATAAGAGACACACCAATAATTTTTGAGCGAGTACGAGATTCAATGACTAGAAGATTGAATGCCTGTATCTTCGCTGAAGGTGGACACTTTCAACAAATTATTTGAATACAGTTTAATTTCGTTTATTTAAATTTATTTTATTTAAAATTTCTTAAAATAAAATGTTGATATTTCTTGCATATTGCATATTTTAGTTAAAAACTACCCTCCGGATATTTATTTGCATTTCTACCGACATTGTACAAATTTTTTTACGCGAAAACGGTGCGTCTTACGAACAAAAGTCAAGAGATCAAATTTGTTCCAAATTAAATGTAGATTTTAAAAATAATTTTTTTTTTAAACCAGTGGCGTACCATTTTTTTCTTCAATAATATTTAGTTTAAATACCGTAGCGACGCCACTCATGAAAATTAAAAAATGTCACTTGATGGTAAAACAACGTGTACCAAATTTTATTAAATTATCTTCAGTGGTATGAAAGATATGATAGAAAACGATTTTTTTCTTAAAACTTTAACACCCTGTATCTTGAAAACAATCCATTTCCGGACACATGTTTACATGAACTTTTTACCTTAAAATTACTCAAAGAATCATTTTCTGAAGTTTTTCAAAGTACTTATGAATCACCCTGTATAAGTATAAAACACTTGCTATGACAAATTTATATATAAACGTAAAAATTACAGAATAAATTAGTGTAAATTTTGCGAATATCGTTTACTGTTACTAGTTACATTTTCGTAAACATATTTTCCTAAGGGTTCCGTGGCCATAAAAATTTGGGACCCGCTACTCTATGGTAAATCTAAACTAAAAGAACCAGACTGATATTTTTCTTACATGTGTTTTATTCTTCACACAGTAGCAGTAGTCAAAAACGAAAAACGATATCAATTTTAAAATTTCAGGAAAGACCGAGCTATAGCTTTTATATATAAGGGGAGGAAGCCTCTGACTTTGAAATAAATCTGAATAAAAATGGGATGGTTAAAGGGGGTTGAAATATTAAAAAAAACAGAAACGAAAAAAGATATCAAGATGAAAGTTTTAGTAAAAATCAAGCTCTAGAAGATGAAGCTTATTGATTTTAAAAAAATCTGAATTAAAATGGAAAGTTAAAATACTTAAAAAATCCTAAGTGAAAAAGGAAATCAAGTTCTATAAAGAAGACGAAGCCTATTGGTTCTAAAACAATCTGAATTAAAAGAAAGGGTTGAGGGAGGTTGAAGTATTAAAAAAAAATTCTAACTCAAAAAGGAAAAATTCTATCATCTTGAAATTTTTAGCAGAAATCAAGCACTATAAGAGGAAAAAAGCCCTTTGACATTGAAAAAAAATCTGATTAAATAGGGGTTTAAATTAAAAAAAAATCAAATCACTACTGTGTATTTGAAGCTATTGCTATTGTCGACGCATGCGCAATAGCTTCAAATACTCACACAGTTGGCATTCACCATCCTCATCTAACAAGTGGCGTTGCGCGCTAACGCTCTCTCATTTTATCTCAGATATCTCGCGTTTTTAACTGATGGCACTCCTAATTTGCGGCTATTTTTTCATAGGCAGCAATATATCATCATGTTAGAAAAAAAATTAGCTTTAATTTGATATAAAAAACATCCGTGTAAGTCACGAACGTATAGATAGATCAAAATATTACCTGCTTACACCTGGCTGCGAGGTAGTTGCGGCCGAGTATGGAACGGCACTTAAGGATTTTAGAATTCTTTACATGCATTGTTATGATGTGGATGATATTTTATTTTAAAGAGAAGTAAACGAAATTTTTTTTGGAATATTAATTAACATTAATTTAATTAAAATTACTTGCGGCCACTTTTGACTGGCTGCGGTGTTGTCAGTGTATTCTCCTATTCATAAAATCATGTAAAAATTTGTGTTTCACTCAAAACTTAATGAACGTAGTGATTTTGCAGCGGGATTTTAGACTATAATAGGCATAGTGACTTACAAGATCGATTAGCTTTATTAGTAAATTTTACCAAAACCAAGACCAAGACAAAAATAACTCGAAAATTTTTAATTACAGAAAATTTTTAAAAAATATGTAAAAAATACATCAGTAGCCGTCCAACACTACTCAGAATGCACTGCCCAAATAATTGGTATTAATAAATTTATCAAAATGAAAAAAGATGTTGCCGCCTTTTTGAAACCATTTTAAATTTTTATACTTAGGTAGGCTTAAGCGACAATTGGCAAATATTTTTACATGAACAGATCTAAGGGAGTAAAGGGATCATATAATTTTACATGGGCATATATAAAAGGGAATAAATATTTTTAGATAAATAAGCAAAGTAAGGAGCCCAAATATTTTACATGAGCAGGCTTGAGAGGTAAAGGGGCCAATTATTATTGAATAAATTGCTCGAACAAGTTTGTAAACGCTAATCAAAAGGCGATATAGAATGGTTTTAAAAATCAAGGCTTGTAAAAATCATCTTTTGGTTTAATCTAAGTAATGCCAATGCTTCACAAACCAAAAAATTCAACGTCTTAATACTACTATCGGCTTTCGGTCTTTCGTTCCAAGTTAAATCATTTCTCGTTTTTTTTTTATGCTACAAGTTTACCCTCGTCGGCCTCAGTCTCGATAAGGTAAGAACCACCTTTTTAGCGTCTCTCGAATTATTATTAGTTAAAGGAAAAGTCAAACATTATTCGAAAGTTAATTTTAAAATGAAGTTTTAATTTTTAGATGCGAATTTTCTCCAAATTAATGTAACCTGTTTTGTCCTATATTTTAAAATGCGTAATTATACGGTAGTGGTAGGTAATTGTTTTTTTTTATTCTAGAACCTTTACAATTTATTTTAATGGATTCCATGTTATAACGTTGATAAAATTTTGCGCACCAAAATTGTTATAGGTCGATTTAGATCCCGGTGCCATAAATTTGGTTTTTATTTGCATTTAATTTTAATTTATGGATACACAACCAGTCATTCAGAATATTTAGTTCACTGTTTAAAGAGCGAACAGCTTCATCAAAATCACTAGCCGCGACAAATATGAGTGTGCCATCGGCAAATAAATTGGGTTGATATTAAATGAACTTTAAAATAGACCAAAATAGCTTTAAAAATAAATTAATATATATTACATAATTTTGTTAAACTTTTATTAAAAGTAGTACGAGAATAGTAGTTTGTGCAACAAGAGTGGATATTTAAAATTTTAAAAATATGAACTGTGATTGGTGGATTTCATTTTTTGCAGTGTTCTAATCACTACCTAGAATGGATATAAAATATATTCGTTCGGTTGAGCGCAATGACATACTTTTTCGTTTTGTAGTCTGTGCGTAGATAAGCTAATATCCATGTGGGTGTAGAAAAAAATAATATATTTACACTTGTGACAGAGAAAACGCACATTGAAAAAATATTATTACTCCATATTAAATCTGATAGAACATGAAAATAATAGGAAAAACTTATTGTAATAATTTTGAACTTAAAAAAAATAATCCACTTTAAAATATTTTCGCACAATAGTGTAGTGTAGGTATAGACCTATAAGTACAGTTTGCACGAAAAAATGATAGATCGCACTTTGAAAAGATACGTAGTTATAACTTAATTTAATAAAACGACACTGACATCCAAACGCAGCCCCTGTTTTCTCCGAAATTGTACGATAATAGAGTGACATCTCGGCACACTTGCTCAAGTTTTTTTAAAACAGTTTGTTTGCAAACACTTTAATAAAAGGCTCTAATAATTCAATAGTCGTTTTAGCTCAGAAATATCTGTTAACAAGGATATTATGGCTACATATAAGTTATTTTACCTCTAATCTCTTTTCGAAATATTTATATTTAAATAATTTTTTATTTGTATTTGACAGATTTAAAACAAATTTAAAACTCAATTTCTCAATACTTACTTAATGTGGCATGTAACCTTATTACGCCAAGCTCTTCATTTGTTGTCTTATTTCATAATATATTTTTTAATAGTTATGAGTATATGACAATTTTTCTGTATTTTGTTAATAAAAATATATAAGTAGGTAGCATACCTACAAAAACAACACTAGTAGCCTTTTCAAGGAAAATATAATTTATTCTCAAAATCGTTAAATTAGACGAGGTAGATATAGAATGGAAAAACGAAAAATATCTAGACCTAACCCTGAACAACAAACTTCTCTGGAACACACATGAGAAGGAAGTAGCTAATAAGGCCACAAAAGCCTTAATGGTATGCAGAAACATTGCGGGTAAACGATGGGGATGTAACCCAAACATACTGCGAGGGATATATACTGCAATAGTGAGACCAATCATCACTTACGGGGCTATAGTCTGGATTAATAGAACTAGTTTAGCTACTATGAGAGCTAATATATCAAAATTACAAAGACTAGCCTGTTTGCATCACCGGTGCAATGAGAACCTGTCCTACGGCCGCAATGGGGGCAATCTT